CCAACTTCTAAGCAAATCACGGGCAGATTATAAAGTGAAAACATCTCTAATTTCAACAGAAAACACAAATCTGAAGAAGTAAAAGGGAGAAAAGGCTGTATACATTCATGGGGGGCTACATTTTGCACCAATATATGAACCCAAAAGAGGGAATGAAGAACAGAAACTGGATATGAACTCACCTAGTTGCATATTGGTGTCTGATAATGTGAAAAAACTGAAGGATTTGCAGAACCCAAGATGGGTTTGGTTAGAAACACAGTATTGAGCATATTCCAGAGGTGAAACTAGGTGTAATTGGGCACCATAGAGCCCAATGTGGCTCCAAGAATGAACCCCTGATACAGAGACAGATATGTGTGATTATGATTGGAAGTGATGGAAAAGAATGGGGGAAAGAAACATGCCAAAAAAGAAAAAAATGGAAGGGAAATGAAAGCATCAAAGGCAACAACTTACAATGATGGAGGTGATGGTGATGGTGCCTCCCACTCTCATCTCCACCCACAGCCCCCCTAATCCTAAACACGAACCCACCTAGGTTTTTTGATTAGTTTAATGAATTGATGAATAAAAAAGCAATATTGGTTTGTAAATTGTAGCATCCAGATGTGGTTGGTGGTGGTGGTTTTTGTTTGTAGGTTTCTTGCTTCTTGTCTGCTTTTGTTCTTTACCAATCTTTAAATCTTTCTTTTTAAGGCCCTATCTTGATTCCCAAGAGACCCCAATTTCAATGGAGAATATTAAATTTTAATTGTTGTCCCACTTTTCAAGATTCAAAAACATTAAAATCGGTGATTAAGATTGCTTATAAAAATAATTTATTGATTTATTTTGTTGTAGCATCGGTAATAAACATTTTTGAGTGTTTGAATAAACAATTTATACTGATGTCAAACCAGTAATAAAGATATTTTGAAGAAGTTAAACCCTTTTAACTTATAATAAATTGATAAATGTTATTATAAAAAATTATAACTTGTTTCAAATAAAACACAGGTTTTTTGGAATTTAATTGTGCATTGGATGAGTGATGGGTTTGTATAATATGTGGTGTAAAGTTTGTAACTTTTTTATGGCTTCTTTTTTAAAGATTTATATTACGATTTAATGTTATCTTCTTTACAGCAAGTCCATAAGTAAAATTATTGGTAACTAAACTCCCTTTTCAGAATTTAAATCTAAAATAATCATTTTACTTTTAAATTTTAAAAAAAAATTATATTGCCTAATAATTAATATGCAATTTTGTTTATAGAAAACTAGAAGTGTACTCGTGTAATGCATCAAAATACATCTCAATTTTAATGTGAAGATGATTCACTCACCAAGAAGACCGTCTACTCGAGCAGTAAGAGTTGATTGTGTCGTTTTATTATGTCTCATGTCGATGTTATAATACAGACCATGTAGTTTTGAGAAAAAAGGATAATGTTTGAAAATATCATAAAATTTTGAAATATAAAAATATCGATATTAGTATCTGAACAACTATTTAAAGTGTAATTTTTTTAATTCAAAATTTTTATTATAGTTTATTTTAGGTTTAATAACGAAGTAATTTATTTTTTATTTAATAATATATTTTTTTATAAAAATAATAATTAAGTATTCTATTATATTACAATAATTATCCTAATTATATTTTAGATTTTTAAAATGAAATTTTTATCATGTATTTGATTATATTTATCTGCAATTAGTTACACGAATTCAAACATAGAGCTTTAATAATATATACTTAGTCACATTCTATTTGTAATCTTGAATTTTAAGTAATATGCATCAATAAACAGTACTTTATGCATAAAAAATTGTTTTTAAGAGTTTTTGTCAAATACTTTATAATATAGTATAGATATAATACAATACTTGAAAACTATAAATATATGTTGTCTCTTTTACTTGTTTCTAAGATCCAACTTAAAAAGATTTAAATGCAAAATTTTCTAAATTAATGTTTATTTTATAATTGTTATTATTAGTGTTCTTTCTAACGATGAGTTTTCAGAGTAGCTTATGCGCATCGATAAATCCTCCGAACGATCATGAATGGTCTGTTATTGCATGTGTTAAGGTTATAAAGACTTTGATAACGTCTGTATTTGAATCCAAAAGAGAAGAGAATTTCCAGTACATTCACTCAGACTTTATCAATACACCACAACACAAGGGTGGTGCCTGATTGGTTTGAGCTTGGCTCCAAAGGTCAAAAGTACCTGAAGGTCCCAAGTTCAAATCCATTGACGAATAAAAATCCCCTTGTAGCCACAGAGGTTCAAATGTGGTGATTCCTGACTATCTGCAAAGCAGGTGATCGCCCTGAGATTAGTCGGTTTGCATAACGGGTTGGATATCCAGTTTAATAAAAAAAATGTGTAATCATGTTTATAAAATCATGATTATTTTTAACTCAAGCATGTTGCAGTTTAGGCATTTAATAATCAGTGTTTAAGATTTTCAAATAAATGATTTATGTATTTTTTTTATATTTATGATTTTATTTTTTAACTTACAATTTCTCTTTTGGCTTTGATTAATACCTTTTAGAGAGAGGTTATTTTATTTAAATGGATTATATTATTGTTTTAAAATATAGTTTTTTGTTTTAATTTATAGAATTTTTAGTATAATATATGATATAAAATTTTATATTTAATTTTATTAATTACTTGTCTTGTCGATCTAAAGTTTTGATATATATCAGTAATTATTGTTATATCAATGTTTGGTTATAAACATATAATTTTTCAAGAAACGGATATAAAATGGAATATTTAGGACTTTTGAAGAATACATCTATACTATCTATACTGTATTATAACGCATTTGAGAAAAATTCTTAAAAACTATTTTTTATGTACAAAATATTGTTTATTGATGCATATTACTTAAAATTTAGAATTACAAGTAAATTGTGCATAAGTACGACTTATTAGAGCTCCATATTTGAATTCGTGTAACTAACTGCAGATGAACATAATCAAATATTGGATAACGTCTTATTTTAAATATAAAAAATTTAAAATATAATTAAGATAATCATTGAGTTATAACAGAATACTTAATTATTATCTTTATAAAATATTATATTATTAAATTTAAATTAAATTATAATAAAAATAAATTAAAGAAATTACATAAAAAATGAGAACTTTTAAATAGTTGATTTGATATTAACATTGATATTTTTTTTTTCAAATTTATATTTTATTCAAAAATAAAATCATTATTGGTTTTTAAAAACACATAAAATCGTATTATAACATCGACAGAGATAAAGAATAAAACAAAACATTAAAACCGAGATGTATCTCGCTGCATTGCGCGAGTACTCTTCTAGTATTTATAAAGCATTTGACAAAAACTCTTAAAAACATTCTTTTGTGCACGAAGTATTGTTCATTGATACATATTACTTATAATTTAAGATTACAAGTAAATTGTGCATAAGTACAACTTATTAAAACTTCATATTTGAATTTGTGTAATTAACTGCAGATAAACATAATCAAATGTTGGATAAACATCTCATTTTAAATATAAAAAACTAAAATATAATTAAGATAATTATTGAGTTTTAACAAAATATTTAGTTATTATCTTTACAAAAATTATATTATTAAACCTAAATTAAATTTCTTTGCTACTAAACCTAAATTAAATTATAATTAAAAAATTGAATTAAGGAAATTACATCAAAACACAAGAAGTTTTAAAAAGATTAATTTGATACTGATATCGAAATATTTTTTTTCAAAATTTTATGATATTTTCAAATTTATATTTTATTCAAAAATAAAAACATTATTGTTTTTTCAAAACCATATAAAACCGTATTATATCGACATAAAAAGGGAATAAAATGAAACACTGAAATCAAAATGTATCTTGATACATTGCACGAATACCCTTACCCTTCTAATAGAAATAAAATTAGAGTTAAAAATTGTTGAACTTAAAAACAATTATTTGAATTTGGAATAGAGAAATTAATTAGCACAGGAATATTCGTGCTGTTGGTTTGTTTTGTTCCTATTGAAAACATTGTTGACCGACTAGTTTTCCTGTTTTAAAATGTAGAAAAATAAATAAATAATAAAATAAAGAGAATAAATATTTAATTATTCTTTTTAATAAACGGTATATAGATTATACCTTTTTTAAATCCTAAATATTTTAAAATTGTATTTGAATGTTACATTTCAGATCAATCGTATGAGATATAGTGGATACCCCCCCCTCTTTCAGACGCTTTAAAATTGTGAGTCAATACGTGAATAAAACGACCAATATCTGATACAGTTAGTTTGAAATGTTACATTGTTAAAAAATAGTCTAAAACTTTCAACGAATTCCATTCAAGAAAAAAAAAATCACAGTTTAATAGAGTTGACAAGAATGACATATAAAACCGCTCTGAAGTTTAAAATCTTCAAAGATGTCTCGATTCAGAGGAAGCCATGAATTTTCATAATTTTATTTTAATAGCTATATATTGATTAAACGTTACATTAATCTTTACCAATTATATATGTTTTATACTGAAAATCACATGACATTTATTTTCGTTCTTGAATCTCTTCAAAGCCCGAAAACTTTTTTGATAGAAAAAAAGTAACATACCACATCGTTAAAAAGTTATACCTTATATTGTTTGTTAGAGGCCGTTTACCAAACACTTGCTCGGTAAACACTTACCGGTAAAATTTAACACTACCACTTACTTACAGGGTAAGACTTTAGTCCACTAAAACGATATTGTATGCAACAATTTACCAAGTAAGCGCTTATCATGGTAAGAGACGTCGCCCACACTTACCGGGTAAGACTCTCGGTCCTTGTCTTCTTCTTACTGGGTAAGATTCTAGGTCCTTGCTATATTCATCTGGTAAGGTAATGTGACTTGGTAAGCCATGAGTAGACAGCCTTAAATCAGATTTAGAATAAAGTTCGACTATATATGGACTTTTGTAGCACATCCAAAACACCCTTGCAAATCAAACACCAAATCCCACCATATTCTGGGTTACATCCATTCAACCATTATGCAATAAAAGATAGTTGCACACCTTAAACTTGATTGCATGACTCAGTGGCATCATGTCTGCCATTTTTAACAATCAACTAGAAGAAGACCTGATAATGCCAAAAAAAAAAACACTTACCGACTTATTGACATATTCCAATTTGAAAACGAACGACTGTGATTGGTTCATAACACATCCTTGAAGAAAACTGTAAATTTTCCAACATTCGTCACTCTTTGACTCCTCTTCCTGATGACTACTTTGATTGCAGACATCAGTTCTTGACAATCATATCTACGCACTTCAACACAGCCATCTACATCCACTTCAATATACATGATAACATCGCGAGATAATATCTACTTTCCCAAATTAACATATGTTACGCCTTCGCCATTGGCTAATCCCGTTCATGTATCAAAGGGATCACCCAATCTTTCTTTCAGTTTACCCTGTTCGGGTCACGAGATGCAGCAAGATGATCCTGCAAGACCCATCAAGAAAATCTTGAGAAAAAAGAATACATTGTTCTAAACCAAACGAACTCAATATATCACACAGAGATCAGGTCTAGCCACCAGGGGTAAGATGTATGCAGACTTTGTCTCTACCCCCAACCCAAGGGTAGAGAGGCCGTTTTTTAGCAGACCTGCCCATGCACATCAATTCAACAAACTAACAGCTTCAGGTATTGGAAACATGGCTAGATATGTCAATTTCTTCTCATACAGTGTTTTAGAAAGATTCCAATCCAAATTTACCCATTTTGCCTCTTAGCAATTTTTACGAAATATTGATGAGGCCAAGTCAAACCTGTCATATTACTTCCGCAGAGGGGTTTCTAAAACTATGGATGTTTTCCAACTCCGGTTTAGGCTTTTATAGTGCTTTATGGATTTAATAATCGACAACACAAATTCAGAGAATGATTCCACATAGGGAAAAGAGATCCACATAACTGTATCTGCACTATAAGCTCAATGCTGAACAAGAGACCAACCAATAGGATCTAAGATGCCTCACCGTCCCATAAAAGAAGATAAACTAGCACCTCATGAAGCAACTTCAACTATGAAGGTTTGGGAGAGAACAAGAGAAAGAACAAATGAAGAGGGCATCCATTCATGAATTCACTCTAGGAATAAAAAAGGGAAGGGGGTGAAGTAGTTCAAAGGCTTGAAAAACCAACTTACAGCAAATAGATTATTGGCTGACCATCTTCTTGGAATAGCCAAAACAATGAAAAATAAATTTAAGCTAAAAAATGAAGAATACTAGTGCTTGTCAAGGGACGCAATAATAGAAATTAAAAACACACAAGCAGGGTTCATGATTTCAGCTTCCACAAGTGAACACATAGATAATGTCATCTGCAAATATAATAAATGTATGAACCTTCTTTATCTTTACAGAGTGATCCAGGCATATATATATATATATTGGGGTGGGGTCACAGGGGATGGCTTGTTCAACATAGCAGAGAACACAAAACACAGTAACCTGAAAGTGCAAAGAAGATCTGGGAGAACAAATTGCGGGATCGGCTTGTGCTCAATTTGGTACATTCCTATTGGTCCATTACAGGTCTTGGTACCAAAAATAAAAATCAAGCAAGCATACACAATCTTAAAGAGAGCAAAAGCTTACTGATATGAAATCAAATGCTCTAGTATCATCTTTCTTTGATGCATTCATTGTTGACGTAGGAGCTTGACTTGCAATGATTGGATTAAAAATATCTGGAAGAGCTGAAGTATATCCCCCAACTTGAGTTCCAGAAGGATTGCTTGTTGGACCAATATTCTGGGATTGCAAGTTCCCTGTCTGTTGTTGCAAGTTAGTCATTGTTGATAAAAATTGCTGCTGGGCTAAAAGGTTGCTCATGGCACCATAGTTAATCGGTTGAGAACCAAATGCCATAGGATTGAACATCAATCCAGAAGATTGACCATTATATAACTTAGGATCGATAGGAAATATTGGATTTGGAGTTATCCCAGGTGCCTGGAATTGAAGTATGTTACTTAAAACATCACTCATCTGCGGATTTGGGTTCGCTGTAGAATCTGAAAATAGTGTTTCAGTTGGTCCCCCTAGAGAGGTTCCATTCTGCAATGATGATGACTCATTCCCATTTACTGACAAACCAGCCATCAAATCGTTGAGATCATCTTTAGCATTTCCTTGGCTGCCTTGAGGAATTCCGGAGTCAGAACCAAATATATCAAATAGCTCCGGTCCACTTCCACTTGCCATGGTCTGTGTGAAAACAGCTCCTGGTTTGTCAACAGTAGCCATTCCTGAAAAGATATCGGCTGATTCATGTTCTTCTTTATTGCTTTGGCCATGAAACGAAACATCTGCAAAGGGATCATCATTGTTTCCAGGTTGATTGTTGTGCACATCAGTACCCAGACCATCACCAAGAAACCCATCAATCAGAGATGCACTGCTCTCATCCTTCATGCTGAAAGAGTGTTCATTTCCATTTGGATCGTTGGTATCTATTAAGTCCGGCATCTGAACTACAGTTTTTTCAGTTTTCAAATTTCTGTCTGGCTGACTCATCCTGCTACCACTTTGCTCTCCATTGAGAATGCTCAAGACCTGACCATCCGAGTGAAACGAGAAACCAAATACCAATTACAAAATGATTTGTTAGACATTTTATAAAGATCATAGTTGAAATGGAAACAATTGGTATGGCTGACACAATCTAAATACAGTGGTGAGCATTATGCTTTGACTGGTTAATTCAATCTCTATTTCAAATATATGTTTTTCTGTGTGCGTACATACAGAGAGAGATGGAGATAAACATAAAAAGAGAGAAGAGCAACAAAATGTGTTTCTAAAGGTCAGCTTCGAGGCAATCTATTTGAAATTAAAGAGAGCAACTACGAGTGCTTCTTTGGGCCAGCTTATAAGGAGGGAAGGATGAAGCAAAGCAGCGTAACCTGACACCAAGCTGTGGGTGGCCCTGAAATGAGGGATTCATCATGGAGAACATAGAGAGAAAAGAACAACTGAAAGAAAGATTCTTGCAAAAACAGATTACACTGAAGCAGCACACACCACGAAGCCAAAAGAAATGTTATATCATATACTATTAGCTGTTCATGGAAACCACATTATACAGGACAACACAAGAGCCTAATATACCCACCAGTCTTAAAGCTAATGGCACTATGATAGGAATACAGTGGGGAATTGACAGCGATTAACAAATCTAAGTTTGCATATTCACGTCAACGGCCCTGGAACCCAAAGAGCCTTGTGATAAAGAGGCAAAACCATGCCTCAAAGAAAGCAAACAAGAAGTCACAGGCGAGCAGTTGACCAGGATGATAATCAATTCCTCAGTAACTCTGCTAACAATTATGGAACAGTAAAAATTCCTTTAATGGTTTAGTACGGGGAAATTCAGTAGTAAGATAGAATAGATTAATAATACTGATGCAATCATGGTCGAAAAGTACACACAGATGATTATTTTTTATACGTACGCTTTTGCTTCGTGGCGAATTCTTTCCAAGGCAGGCATTTAATTTTCTGCCCCTCCCTAATAACAAATTACTTACAAATTTTAATTATTAAAAGATGTTATTCCTTGCCCAAAACGGTTCTGTAGACAAGTGCAGGTGTGTTATAGTAGCAACACAACTCTGCTGATCCTCAAAAAAGCATGTTCACATTTTGAGTTTGTGATATGAAGTGAAAAATAATGAATCTGATACTTCTTGGTGTTGGCTTAACCGCAATTTGAAAAGCTCAGCAAACTTCACTGGCAGAACAATAAAACTTAGGCAAGCTGCATACATAGTATCTGATATATCTTATTAATTATAGACTTACTCCATACCTTATTTGCCTTCTCCCTCACAGACGCTTGGGGAGATTCAGAGCATTGGACCACAGCATCTATATTCTCAGTGAAGTAAGAAGCAACAATGGAAAAATGTTCATCATCTTTCTTCCTCAAAATTGCCTCAAGCACACATAATCCTTTCACACAGACCTAACGCAATTGGGCAGCATAGGAAGTCAGAAGCAGGAATTTTTTCCTATTAATTAATAAGCAATGAGTTCTCCTTTTAGAGAACAATGAACACAAGCAGAGGAACTATCAATGAAGCAGGGAAAGGAAAAGATCATTAATTTGATACGCCAATAATCTGCTTTTATGGAAGATCAGAAAACAGCCTGAGAAAAGAAAGGGAAGGAAGGAAAAGTGATGCATTATTTTTTTAAATATAAAATAAATGTCAAAAGAACTAAAGCTAACTTATGAAATGAACCTTCATTTAGATGTATGTTTCAGGTCAAAATATGAATAAAGATGTCATGTTACATTAACCTATAAAATTATAAAGAAACTTTTATAGCACACATACCTGCCACATATGAGATTGCAGCTTTGCTTCAAGTGCCTTACTTAAAGCAAGTGCATTCAGTTTTGAGGCCTCTGCCAGAAATGCTTGAAGAGCATCTCGAGTGGGTTGTAGACGGATGCCACCAGGTGTTACAATGGTCTCTAGCAATCTCTCTTCACGACTCTTTTCACGTGAAGAATTTGAACCCGAACTCCCACCTGTATTATCAGTCTGAGTTATTTTTAGCTCTTGACCCCAATGTCCAGAGATATCTGTTGACACCCGGGACGAAGGCATGGTTTCATTGTGACGTTCATTGCTACCAGAGTAACTGGTTTCATTAGTCAACGATCTTCTCAGATTTGGGCTCCTGTAAGTTCCTGTTTTATTCTTACTTTGGGTTTGACCTTGTGTTAAACTATTCAATCCCTGCTTAATCGTTGCACTTCCAATGCCAACCACCCCACTAAGAAACGACTTGTTATCATCAGGTGGCATGTCAAAGTTGGTATTCCCAAACCCTTCTATTCTCTGTGTAAGACCTTCTTTAGGTGGTGGCTTAGTGCTGTCTTCTCCAGCAAATATAGCTGATAAAGCTTCTTGGGCAGTTTCCCTAACAGACTTATTAAGTGCATCACCCTTCAAAGGATCAGGTTGTCCCTTATGGTGAATTAGCTGACGCACAGCCACCGAGTTCCTTTGCATTTCTCTCTTGAAATCCCCACCAGATTTTCCTACTGCATACTTGATCACTCTCAAAGCCTAAGAATAAATATTACACCAAAAAATAGTTTAACAAAAAAACATCCAAGGCAGTAATATTCAGATAATTAGTGATCAAGTATGCATGAAGAGAGAATTATCGTCCCACATAGCTAGTTTAAGTGTTTATGTGGGGATATGCTAAATCATTAATGAAAATTCAGAGGGAAGATTGGAGGGAAAACTATGTTCCTATAAATTGATTGTTTGACCTGAAGTTGCAACACATTTTGATTAAATATGGAATAAGCCATCTTTTTGCAGTTAACAGTAATATAATTGTTGTGTCCAATGCCTACAAATATGTGTTCTCAAACATTTACAGAACTGATTCTTCTCTTCTCTTCTCTTCTCTTCTCTTCTCTTCTTTCAGTTGCAACAGATTAAAAATCCTAGACAAATATGCCAGAAGTAACATTGTGGGGGAATAATTCCTTAAGGATAAATCCCTAACAGTAACAACTCCAAATTTGCTTATGTTCTCATGGGTTCCTTCCACAATTTATTCATCTTATTATTTTTCCAGAGAACATCATTTACACTAATAACAAATTTAGCTTGTATGGTCATTCCGATGATTTTCCCAGATTTGTATTGTACCACGACACTCCCAAACGTAGAGACCACATTCCAACATTTGCGCCGCTTAAAGTTGTTTGTAGTTGAGGAGAGATAAATTTAAGACCTCTTGTAACTTTACACTATATGAGACTCTTATTTGGGAACAAATCTTCTTAAACAAAATAAAAACTCCAACCATGTGACACAACAAACATCATGATTAATCAACACAAAGCTTGTGAATGGTTTTATCATACTCCATTAATCGCCTGTGTTTTTTATAGTAAAAATAGAGTATGTTTGGAAACCTCCATTCCATGGATTGAAATCATAGTTGGAACAAAATGGGCTTGGGAATTTGAACTGGCAGAGCTTCAATTACAAGTTACAACTCCAAACCTCAAACTCAATGTTACTAGGGATTACTTGATCTATTATGCATCAAATGGGCAATGACAGATGATAGGTCAAAGGTGGGGATTGAACATTACATAAGCTTATACTAAGTGGCCAATTGGCAAATCAGGGCGATCTGAACCAGTGTCCAGCATAAAGTAACCAAAAATAGTGATCGGCATCCCCATGAATCCCCTCCCAATATAATTCGGTCACTATCAAATTAAGAAGGAATAACAGCAAAGGGGTAGTTGTACCTTTTGCTTGACAATGGGTGACTTGTGTTGGAGACGCTTGAATATAAACTCGGAGATTTCTTTCACGATTGAGACATGCGAAGAACGAAGAAGCTCGCAAATTTCTTCCAACTTATAAACAGGGGTGACTTTATCTTCATCAGAAGTCGCCACATCAATCATCTTTGACCTCCAGTAGGATTCCACCGCTCTCCTGCTTGTATCCATCTCTCCGATTCTGATCTCCTCTAAAGCAAAAAAACAGTAGAATCAAACCCTAAAAAAGATACAGAAATCAAACCCTTTGGTTGGTAACCAGTTTGAATTGGATGGCGATAACGTTATGATGAAAAAACACAAAGATTAGGATTATATTGAGAGATTGGGATTGAAAAGAAGCAGGAATGAGGAGAGGATCTGGTTGGAAAGAACAGCTGGTGAGAGCAGTGGTTGTCTATGGAGGATGAGAGAGAGAAGCTGACGTGTGGCGCTTTTCGTTATGCTTATGGCCACATGTGCCAAAGCTGAACCCGGTCCGGTTCAATGGTATTTCGATGTATTCGGAACATATTAATTTACTTTTTTCAATGGTATTTATTAGATTCGATAAATGCTTATCAATAAAATTTAACATTATTATTTATTTATTGGGTAAGATTTTAGTTCATCAAAATGACATCACATGCAACAATTTATCTGGTAATCGCTTATCGTGGTAAGAGTCGTCGCTCTCGCTTACCGGTAAGACTTTTGATTCTTGTATTGCTTTTACCGAGTAAGACTTTTGATCCTTACCATATTCATCCGGTTAGATAATGTGACTTGATAAACGTTTACCCGAGTAAGCATTTGGTAAACAGCTCCTAAGTTTATTTTTTAAGAAACCTTAAATTTTTATATCAGAGTTAAATTTCTAAGGAGTCGTTTAACGAATGATTATTAGGTAAATGTTTATCAATATCACTTATCTTAACGATTAAGTATGATAACATTCAAGGATCTTACCCATAAGAGGGACCAAAAGTCTTACCAAGTAAGGGGTTGTTTGGCAATTGCTGAATGGTTTGGTGCAAAATGATTAAGTGGTCAGATTGATTAAGAGGCTCTCATGATATAGTGCAAAATGAAATATAATTTTTTGGTAACTATGTACAATGAAATTAGGGCTCTTAATGGTTAAGGGAGATTCATGATAAAAATCATTTAGAGAGTTTTGGAACCATTAAGAGGCAGATTTTTTTCTTGCCAAACAAGAGATCTCTTAACGATTCAGAGGTTGCCTCTTAATGAAACTATTAAGATGTAAACAAACAACCCCTAAGTGATGGAAAGACTTCTACTCGGTAAGTGTTTATTGGGTTTAAAATGCTTACCAATAATCCACTTTAATGACCAATAATCTACACTATATTATAAAGCATTTGGGTTAAACTCTTTAAAATCATTTTTAATGCATCAAGTATCGTTGTTTAATGATGCATATTACTTTTTTTTTACTAACTTGAATATCCAACCCGCTATACGAACCGACTAATCTCATGACGACCACCTGCTTTGCAGATATCCCGGAGTCACCGCATTTGAACCTCCGTGGCTACAAGGAAATTTTTATTCCTCATTGGATTTGAACCTGAAACCTCCCGGTAGTTTTGACCTTTAGAGCCAAACTCAAACCAATCAAGTACCACCCTTGTGGTTTTATTACTTAAAATTTAAGATTACAAATAAATGACGCACTAACCTAACGTTTAAGTTTGGTCACTTGGGTGGGCCTGGGCTCCTTTGTTACACATTTTTATTTTTGGACTTGAGCCCACGAGATGTGGCTGGGCTATTGGTTCCTTCTGAAGTTCGAACTCAGTCGCTCAGACATCGGACTTCGACTGATTAGGCATCGATTCATCAGCCACCGCGATTTCCAACCCTCAATCACTGCGATTTCAACTCCGACATCCTCAAATCACAGCGATTTCCAGCCCTAGTTCTGTGTTCTGGTTCGATTTCAGGTTTCTCATTCAAGAAATCTAAAATTTGAGGTTAGTTAAAAGCTCAAGTATTGTTTTTATATATTTATAATTTCTCTTCCATTATAAGAGTATTTGATGCTTTTTGCATTTTAGTTTAAGTAGTGTTCCATCAAATATTTGAGCTAATTTGTTTGTAGGATTCATCGTAATTTGCTTGTACCACAGTGGTGTAAAGGCATATGTGAATAGGTCAATTTCTGTCAATTGCTTTTTTAATCTTCTGTGAGTTCACATAAGTATTGTTAAGTTTGCTTTTCAATCTTCTGAGTTCACTGTTCACATAAGTATGGTACTAAACTACTGGTAGAATATTGCTAAGTTTGGGTCATGTTGTAATTGAGGGTGATGCTATATCATGCTTCGAGTTGGAGTGCAGGGGACAGGGGTACATCATTGGAACCGATTAATACCCCTGACACTGTTGTTGCCTACCCCAAGTCCCAATTAGTTTTGGATAAAAGGCTTTTGTTAGTAATGTGTAAGTGTTTCTAATTACTAAAATGGTTTTGCTTACCAAGCACTTGTTCTTTGTTTACATTCCTATATAATAACTGCAAGAAAACTAGTATTTATTCATAGTTTTACGTAAAGCTGCAAACTAATATAAATTGCTGTTGCTTTCGGTTGATCTTTTGACATTTCTACTGTTTTTGTTTAGCTGCTGTTGTACAAGTTCAGTTTAGTTGCTATTTGTTCTTTTTGTTATTAGATTTTACCATGATATGATTAAAGACAGAAAAAGGATAAAGGAGAAGTTAATCGTTAGATAGGAGCTCAAAACTTGATTGTATGTAGCCAGTGAGTTTATCAGGGTTGATGTTTTGCAGTCACAATTTGCCGGGATTAGTCGGGGTATAGCTTGAGACACCCATCCAAAAAAAACCTTGATTATAAGCAAGCCCACAGGGTAAAGTTAATAAGTTTTTATGAAAGCCATGAACCATTCTCAGCATTTCCTTCATCAATACACCGGTGAATCGCAGAAATTCCGCATGCTGCGATTTGCTCTTACCTGTCTTTTGTTAGATTAGGGAAACATTCAAACAATTCCCTTCAGGGATCCATTATGCTCACAAGGTGCACAATAACAATAAGGCCGATAAATATGGTATGTCCCTACCAGTGAAAAAGAGCCAATTGATTGTTCATGGGCATGGCTATTCTATCATGTGGCATTGTGTGCATACTTGTTGTTGGTTAATCAGGTATCATTTTCATTATTTAACATCCTAAATCTAGGGGGGTCCTTTACTTAGTGAAGTGGGCTGTGCCCCATGCATACTGCAAATAAGTCGTGTTCTTTTTTATTTTTATGATCTAACCTTGTAATCTTTGTCCAATGTGTGACAGTCATCTCGTTGCAGATATCTCAATTTGTTTTGTGTGGCCATGATTTCACACGGTTCTAATATGTTCTTTTGTGTACATGCTACACAAATTTCTGAGAGAGTGTAATGCGTTCGTTGTTGCCGCCAATTTTAGAATGATCATTTTGTTATCTGGGTGCTGCCTTTATGTTTATGTTTATCAAGGTTTGTGTTGGAAATGTGATAAAATTATTTGGTGTGACGAATGAAGTAGGTACTGGGAGTAGGCGATGAATTTCTATACTCTTTCAATCTTATAAAGATTTCAACATTGACCAACACATGGTTCAAGAGTTAAGTGTTTGACAATTAAGTCAAATTTCTTAAACAGCCTCACGGCCTCACCTGAAACAATGGCAAGATAGGGAATTTTGTGGCCTAAATCAGTATGATGTCTTTGTATTGATGGCAATAAAAAAATAATCTCAGGTTTAAAAAGTTGGCAAAAATATAATGTAGAACACATGAAACAGAGGGATTATTTTGGTAGGTTTGTGTTCATTTGGAACAATAAAGATTTTGATTACCATGAGAATCAATTATTCATGAATTATTATCATGATGAATCGTGATAGATATTCATGATGAATATCATGAATAATGAAAATGAATATTTAGGTATATTCATCATGAATAGTTGGTTCTCATGGTTCTCAATATATTTATGCCTCTTAAATGAACTTTCTCTCCTATTCTGATACTTAGAGAAGTGAAAGTCTTATGTAGGTTCACTACTCACATGCCGGTTTCTTTCTTTAATTTGCACAGACACCCACCATAATGGCACTGTTCTCCAGAGGTCGCATCGTTTCTTCATCTTTATTTAGCAAGCTGGTCCACCACCCTCCAATCCAGCGCTCATTCAGTTCATCTTCCAGTATGTTTCTCTCTCCCTGCTCTATTTATATTGCTAATGCTTACTCGTAGCACATTTTCAATGTTTAGTATATCTGTTTTTCTCCATTCTCACACTTCTCACTGGCCCCCACCTGGGGGTCTTCAAGAAAACAGCCACTCTACTCTTTAGGGTAGAGGTCAGGTCTGTATACATCTTACCCACCAGACCCCATCTCCGGGTGGGATATACTGAGTTTGTTTGGTTTGTTTATCTATCTTTTTGTGTATTTCTTCCCAATAACCATCTCTCTTACAGATGCCTACAATCAGAAATCACACGGATCACAATCTGGTGAAAAAGCCTCGCTGATGATGAACAACAATCCAATGTTCTCTCTGGACATCAGTTCACAAGTTGGCAGCTGCATGCCTATCTCCATGATGCGAATTGGAACCATAATCCACAATATCGAGATGAACCCTGGTCAAGGAGGGAAGCTGGTCCGTGCTGCCGGCACCTCTGCAAAGATCTTGAAGGAACCAGCCGCCTCTAAGCTGTGTTTAATCAGGCTGCCTTCTGGTGTCGAGAAGTTGATTGATTCTAGCTGCAGGGCGACCATCGGAGTGGTGTCGAACCCAGAGCACGCAACTAAGAAGCTGAGGAAGGCTGGTCATAGCCGATGGCTTGGTCGCAGGCCTGTGGTTAGAGGAGTGGCCATGAATCCAGTGGACCATCCACACGGTGGTGGTGAAGGTAAAAGTAAAAGTAGTGGATGTAGAGGCGGGGTTTCGAAGACTCCATGGGGGAAACCAACCAAGAGTGGCTTCAAAACTGGTCCACTCAAACGCAGGAAATAGGTTGATGCCGATAGTGAAATTGGATTGATTTGGTATGTTTTAGAGACTGATTTCACATGTTTTGAAATGGTTTCGACTTTTGATCCTTTTAGGTCATCTATAACCAATAATGTTTTAGAAAGTTTACATGTTAATCCATTAATTCGTTACATAACGTCAGGGGTTCGGCATTCATTGCTCCACATAGTTGATACAGAATAGGGCAAAGATGGGCAAAAACCAGTTATATAACTTGGTTATGGCATAACCAGTCCCTAGTCCAAAATTTGTAACTCATGACTACCGATTAAGGGTGCTCATAGGTTGTGTTGATCGGGTTGAAGACATTTGAACAATCCAACCCAATGTTTGTGGTTTGAAAAAATCTTAACCCAACCCAGCCCGTACGGGTTGGTCGAGTTGATACTTTGGTATATTAAAATATTTTTCTAACCTTGAATATGTTATTTCTCTACTCATAATTTCTTTTTCATCATCAACCATTTGATACACCTTATCTATATTTTTTACGTATATCATATTCAGTTAATTTTCTCAATTTACATATATGTTCACAGTTATTGAACATATATACGAATGAATTATATAGAGATGTGAATAGATTGAAAAATATATGTATATGAAAAGCATGCATGATAGTGTAATTGTCTAATGTATATATTAATAGAAATTCAACAATCGTATTAAATACAAGAAATAAAAGGTTCATTTTCAGTCACCTTCACAAACTTTCAAATACCTTGAATCACCTTCACATGTATTAATTTGTTTTAAAATTTCGTTTATGATGATACAAGTAGGTAAACGAAGATATGTGATTGCAGGTGGATGGAAGTCCATATCCTCACCAAAAAAATTGTCTCACATGATCCCAACCTTGTAGGAGCACCACCTAACTAGCGGTCGTAACTAGTCCTTACAAAAAATCATAACCGATAGACACCGACCGGTTATAACTGGTCCCTATTTAACCAGCGGTACACAAATGAGGGGAAGGATGCAACGGTAAAGAATGGAGGTTTTGCAGCTAAACAAAGTTGTGTAAATAACCACACGAATGTATACATTGTAAACTAAAGCCACAAATTTATGAAAATATGCCAAAAACATGAGATCCTAAAAGCCAATTCTGGATCTAACCGAATGACAACACCTATAAATAACTATGAGGTGTCTATCAAGGATGTAAAACGTACAAGACACCTGAAACTCGTTTGTCATCTCCTGGTTACACGATGTCGTTCTCTTTTTCTGAACCGCTCAAGCATGAATTCATCTGTTGCCGCTTGTCTTCCACCTCCACCACCACCACCACCGCCACCTCCTCCTCCATCTACTGCAGCAGTATCACTGGCTCTGGATTCTCCGTTGCTGTTTGCCCCTTTGTCCTTGTAAAGCTCAGGATGATCTGTGGATCGTCCGTTAATACTGTTAGTGCATGTAAAAAGATTGTATAACCTAGCTCTGTTTATCAGTAAGCCATTGCCGCCCCCATCAAAATGATATGAATTATTAAATTGTAATTGATTCGGTGACAATGACAAGTCAGTCTTTACAGAAACAGTTTCTCTACTCCTTGGGATAGAGGTAAAGTCTGCTTACATTTTACCTTACCTAAATCCCACTTCGAGTGGGATCCACTGGGTTTGTTTGGTTTGGTTTTACGGTCAAAATTGATGCAACATAAAAAACTTGGGAGTGTCGGGTCCATATGCAAATGACAGCGGAAATAAGTGTCCACATTTTTATTTTTGTTTGTCCCAAAATAAGTGTCCACTTTCTACTTTCCAATTCTACCTGTATTTTTGAAATGGAGAAATTCGTCATTCTATCTATTATTAAGGGTAAAATTATCATTTAGTGAAAAGCGGTAACAATTGCACATTTCTAAAACCGTCTTTTTCATTGTGGACATTTATTTTGGAATGGAGGGAGCAACAGCAAGCAAAGGACTATTAGGTAGGTCAACATGTGCATATGACTATCAGACAGGAGACAAGAAACAGTTATTACATACCCCTCCTGAGTTTTTCCGCATAGTCCTTGCCACGTTGGAAATAGTCCGCGCTGTAGCTTGAAGGTATGGTAGAGTCGGTTTTAGCTCGGCCCATAAGCCTCTTCTCCTGCAGGAGCTTTTTGGCAGCCTCTGTTTCCTCTATATTTTTCAGCTTAAATCTACAAGGTTTCAACCACATAGCAAATTAACAAATTTCTGTAGGAGACAAGATGCAACAACCAATCCAAAGTCGATAAAAATACAAACTCAAACCCAGTCACATTAGCTTCAATAAATTCTCAAACCCTCAGGGTCCTTCCATTTATTACCAACTATTTAAAAGAAATCAGAGTTCCATGGATGCATTCTTTTAGAGAAAAAGGAAGAAAAGAAATGCTGTCAACTGTCATTGAGTACCAGGGAAGAAAAGACAATGGGAAAGGAGAGGAGAGAGAGAGAGAGAGAGAGAGATAATAAGACATACTCGATGGGAAGCTGGATTTCAGCAATTCCAGTCGTCCATTGAGTAGAGCTTTCCTCCGAGTTCCGTCGTTTGACCTAAGTAAACACATGGGGTGGTTAATATAAGCATCACAAGTTCGTGCATCATGAATAAAAGTTCATAGGAGGAGCTATAACATAGGTCTATTTCTTTCTCTTTTAACAAGTAATCAGGTAACAAAATGTTTTTATTACAATAAATCTATCCTTCTTTGTTTTCAGAAATTTGCAACTCCCAACTCTACAAAATTTGCATGAATAAATAATCGAAAATATTGTTTCCCTGCATCTCAAACCTCAATTGGTCAAATTCGGGGCACACATCTCCTTTCGATGGATACCGGATGAACATTATGCTTTCCTACTTAATGCCTACTCCATCCACCGGTCAACCTTAAAAGCCTGCTAAAGAGCGTGCACTTGGAAACATATACTACAGAAGCATCAATTTGCATATCATAGAAGCCTAGTACTTAAGAGGCTGCCAAGGTGTTGAGCTTTGCCATTTTAGAACATTCTCCATCAAGGAAAATGTCACTTCCGGTTTAACCAATAGACTAAGCCTTTAACATGTTAGACCAGGCACCCAATAGACTAAGCCTTTGGTTCAAATATAACATGGTTTCAGATTGCTACATTAGAGCATAGGGTAACCACATGAGAGCTTCTCTTCTTTTGGTAAAGGTCCACAAAAAGAGAGCTTTTGGTTCTGCCAGCAAAGACATTTAGCCATGCAAAGGGTCTGTCTTGTTGAGTTCTATGTGTTCTTCATTCTATACAATATCTTAGGTTTTTGGTGTTCATTGTTAAAAAGTTACTATAGAGAAATGAATAAACAAAGTTAAGAGGGTTTCTGGTCTCTAGCTTTTAAAAAATTAGGTGATTCTCCTTACATAGGGATGATTCAGGCATCAATCAAGAAATTCCCAAGCCATCTGTGTTGGAACAAATTGCCAAACTTCTGGATCCAAATTAGATTTTAGAGGGTTTCAGGTTCGCTTATGCCACTCGAACACCTCTACCTGACAGCAGATTGGGCCGGTTAATTTCCTGATCTGGTTGACTCCCTCGGTTTGCCTTGTTGGTTGACTGTTTCATTCATTGATAGGACTCCCTCCATTTAATCTAGGTCTTGGACCATTGGGTCTGTTGGTTGGATGTCCTTCAATTATTTTGACTAAGCTTAGGTTTATGTTTACTAGATTTAGGGTTTAAATATGGTATATAAATCCAAATAACATTAAGCTTACATCTCTCCTGTTCTTTTTATTTTGTTCTGAGACACCTTCTATCATATAAATTATCCTACAGAAGCAGAATTATGCATTTGCTCCAAATTGATATAATCACATAGAATGCTATGAAGACTTTTCACAACCACTGTAATGGAGTAACAGATTACTTGCAAATAAGTTCGGATTTCATCTAGGAAAGACCTCAACAAGGGTATATGAACGAAAGAGAAGGAATTGCATAAAGCCAACATACTCACCTTAAGATGCTCTGGAATTTTGTATAACTCATCCTCCGCATGTTTTATATCATTCTCAACTTGATTTGCCTCATCAATATTCTTCCCCTTTTTCTTAGCCAACTCTTGCTCAACATATCTTAACCTGCTCATTAGAAAAAAGATTGGTAAGTTTTTATCTTGTATACTACCCCAAGGTAATTCTACCAACAATGTCTTTAAGTATTATTTCTAGTGAACCCACCTAAGAGTTCAAATTATTAACCTCGATAAATTTTAACATAAGCATGTTGTAACACAAGTGATACACACACACACAGAGACATATATATATAGAGAGAGAGAGAGACAGAGATAGAGATAGAGATAGTTTGAAATTTTATTATTTGGTTTTTCAGTTTGATGGACAGAAAGGTTGCATCCAAATTTCTTACGCCTAATTTAACTTTCTCTATATAGCTCCTACTTTTCTCTTGTTCACTCAACACATATGCAGCTAAGTGGTGCTCAACAGCTCAACTTGTTTTAAAATACCAAGCACGAAACTATATTTACCAACACATATGTAGCGCAACGTTGCTCAATTTATAGTGTAACAAAAATGCAGCTCAATGGTACTCCCATCAAATCTTATTAACAGTAAATAGAAAAGTTGACGCCAAAGAGATCAATCAACTTCTGTCCTCTTGGTGGCTGCAAGGCGTCGAAGCACTACAGATTATTCAAGAATAACATTACTTGAACTTGAATTTTGCAGAGGCGTTTTATTGAAATAATCAAGATGTAATTCTTTGCTTTGATAGCATTCACCATTCCTTTCAGTGGCTATAAAAGTATAAGACGTTAAAATGGTTTTTATATTCAAGAATATTAGTAATTTGAAGTCTGCAGCAACTTCACCAGATGAAACATGGCAATGTTATAACCAGACAACAGTCTGTCAGTCAAAAAACATTTCTTATTTCAGTAAAGCATGAAAGCCTGACAGCATGGGAATGAGGCTGAATTTTGCATAGAAGGGAAACACATGCTTAGATGCTGGGAGACTAACATGGAAGGCACATGAATTAAGCTGTTCCATTGCTGGAAGCAATTCAGAGCTTAAACTTCTCTTTTCAAGAGACGAAATAATCAATGCCATGAACCAGATCAAGTTGCAGTGCTAAACAGTAAACACTTCTTCTGGAGCAGGGTATTACGAGAGCAAAATCTGAATCCTGGTGGTAGGAGTATTGAAAAAATATTTGATCTTACTACATGCCTGAAATTCCATGCCTCCACTCTTATTACATTATCTGTTGTCAAGGCAATACCTAAGTTAGCAAGGTGTCTCCTAAACCTTCTGAACTCGTCACCCAACTACGGTTGTAGGAATAGTAATTGATCATTTTCAGACAAAAGTAAAGTAGCACCTCATGCATGCAAGATGAAGATGGTGCAAAACCAACATAAATCTGGTAAAATACACTTAATAAGGTAAAATACATACATATGTGGATCTTCATCCATGACAGCAGTCTCCTGAGCAAAGGTATCCTGTAAAACCAAGTCGTCTTTTTCTCCATCCCCTTCACCTTTATCACCACCTTTGGAAACCAACCCACCAGCATTGTTGTTTCCACTAGCTGCAGCGGCCTGCCCTGTTTTAACAATTGCTGGGACTCCGGACTTCTTTTCCCTCAGTTTCTGAAGGAATTTGATCTCTTCTAAAGCTAATCTGTGTTCATCAATCGTTGTTAAACCGCTTGTTCAAGGGCATTCAATAAGCAAAGGAAAAAGAAAAAGAATGAATTCATTTTGAACTTTGATGTAAAGTGTAGCAAAATTAACAAAGATTTTGCTGCAAATTTACCAAGGTAGCGGGTAGGGTATCCCTTACCACAGAAACCAATAGTACAATGATTAGAGGTACTTCATCTCATATCCGAACTCATAGGGTGACATTTTTAGGGAGTCAAGGAGTTCTTCTTGCATCAAACATGTATCAGAACATCCAAACTCGTAAGTTAATTAGGTTGATTTAAACCATTATTGAATGCTTTCTTCAATCTCTACAAACAAAATATAGAAACCCTAGCAGAACATCAGAATCACTAAAACCCAATGATGGAAGAAAATTAATAAATCAAATACGCATTACAACATCCAAGCAACGTACCGCATTTCATTACCGTCTTCTGCAACTCCTGTTTGTTCATCTTCTTCTACTGCTCTATCTCTTTTTCGGAAATTTTTGTTCTTCTTCATCTTTTAATCCCTTTTCTAATCCCTTATCAAACTTTAACCGAATGAAATCAACTCCGCTTCACAACCTCGGCTCCGATATCGTCCGGGAGGGTCGCTCTTCTCTGGTTAGCGCTTCAATCCTTCTCTTCTCTAGAGAGAAATTTGGGTACATTCCATGGCTCCTGGACGGGGCCAATAGCGACAGGTCCTATTAGCTTGAGGACCTCCAGTGAAATTATGGATTTTGTCAAGTATTACATAAATCGTCCCTGCACAGTTACATATTTTCCATTTTTCCCCTCATAATATTATTTTCCATCAAGATAAGTACCAAGCATCCATATTATTGTCTCTTTCTCGGCAAAAAATTTACAATTAAATATTGTATATTTATTCCTTTTTTAGTGCAATTAATCGAGACTCAGTATTCCATTTTACATCTTTTTTATGTTGATATAATACGATTTTATGTGGTTTTGAAAAAGCAATAATGTTTTTATTTTGAATAGAAAATAAATTTGAAAATATCATAAACTTTTGAAAAAAAATATATCGATATCAGTATCAAATTAATCTTTTTAAAAGTTCTTATGTTTTGGTGTAATTTTCTTAATTCAAATTTTTAATTATAATTTAATTTAAGTTTAGTAACAAATAAATTTAATTTAGGTTTAATAATATAATTTTTTATAAAAATAATAACTAAATATTCTGTTAGTTATCAATGATTATCCTAATTA